AGCGAGCGAGGTAGGTGGGAGCGAGCGAGGTAGGTGGGAGCGAGCGAGGTAGGTGGGAGCGAGCGAGGTAGGTGGGAGCGAGCGAGGTAGGTGGGAGCGAGCGAGGTAGGTGGGAGCGAGCGAGGTAGGTGGGAGCGAGCGAGGTAGGTGGGAGCGAGCGAGGTAGGTGGGAGCGAGCGAGGTAGGTGGGAGCGAGCGAGGTAGGTGGGAGCGAGCGAGGTAGGTGGGAGCGAGCGAGGTAGGTGGGAGCGAGCGAGGTAGGTGGGAGCGAGCGAGGTAGGTGGGAGCGAGCGAGGTAGGTGGGAGCGAGCGAGGTAGGTGGGAGCGAGCGAGGTAGGTGGGAGCGAGCGAGGTAGGTGGGAGCGAGCGAGGTAGGTGGGAGCGAGCGAGGTAGGTGGGAGCGAGCGAGGTAGGTGGGAGCGAGCGAGGTAGGTGGGAGCGAGCGAGGTAGGTGGGAGCGAGCGAGGTAGGTGGGAGCGAGCGAGGTAGGTGGGAGCGAGCGAGGTAGGTGGGAGCGAGCGAGGTAGGTGGGAGCGAGCGAGGTAGGTGGGAGCGAGCGAGGTAGGTGGGAGCGAGCGAGGTAGGTGGGAGCGAGCGAGGTAGGTGGGAGCGAGCGAGGTAGGTGGGAGCGAGCGAGGTAGGTGGGAGCGAGCGAGGTAGGTGGGAGCGAGCGAGGTAGGTGGGAGCGAGCGAGGTAGGTGGGAGCGAGCGAGGTAGGTGGGAGCGAGCGAGGTAGGTGGGAGCGAGCGAGGTAGGTGGGAGCGAGCGAGGTAGGTGGGAGCGAGCGAGGTAGGTGGGAGCGAGCGAGGTAGGTGGGAGCGAGCGAGGTAGGTGGGAGCGAGCGAGGTAGGTGGGAGCGAGCGAGGTAGGTGGGAGCGAGCGAGGTAGGTGGGAGCGAGCGAGGTAGGTGGGAGCGAGCGAGGTAGGTGGGAGCGAGCGAGGTAGGTGGGAGCGAGCGAGGTAGGTGGGAGCGAGCGAGGTAGGTGGGAGCGAGCGAGGTAGGTGGGAGCGAGCGAGGTAGGTGGGAGCGAGCGAGGTAGGTGGGAGCGAGCGAGGTAGGTGGGAGCGAGCGAGGTAGGTGGGAGCGAGCGAGGTAGGTGGGAGCGAGCGAGGTAGGTGGGAGCGAGCGAGGTAGGTGGGAGCGAGCGAGGTAGGTGGGAGCGAGCGAGGTAGGTGGGAGCGAGCGAGGTAGGTGGGAGCGAGCGAGGTAGGTGGGAGCGAGCGAGGTAGGTGGGAGCGAGCGAGGTAGGTGGGAGCGAGCGAGGTAGGTGGGAGCGAGCGAGGTAGGTGGGAGCGAGCGAGGTAGGTGGGAGCGAGCGAGGTAGGTGGGAGCGAGCGAGGTAGGTGGGAGCGAGCGAGGTAGGTGGGAGCGAGCGAGGTAGGTGGGAGCGAGCGAGGTAGGTGGGAGCGAGCGAGGTAGGTGGGAGCGAGCGAGGTAGGTGGGAGCGAGCGAGGTAGGTGGGAGCGAGCGAGGTAGGTGGGAGCGAGCGAGGTAGGTGGGAGCGAGCGAGGTAGGTGGGAGCGAGCGAGGTAGGTGGGAGCGAGCGAGGTAGGTGGGAGCGAGCGAGGTAGGTGGGAGCGAGCGAGGTAGGTGGGAGCGAGCGAGGTAGGTGGGAGCGAGCGAGGTAGGTGGGAGCGAGCGAGGTAGGTGGGAGCGAGCGAGGTAGGTGGGAGCGAGCGAGGTAGGTGGGAGCGAGCGAGGTAGGTGGGAGCGAGCGAGGTAGGTGGGAGCGAGCGAGGTAGGTGGGAGCGAGCGAGGTAGGTGGGAGCGAGCGAGGTAGGTGGGAGCGAGCGAGGTAGGTGGGAGCGAGCGAGGTAGGTGGGAGCGAGCGAGGTAGGTGGGAGCGAGCGAGGTAGGTGGGAGCGAGCGAGGTAGGTGGGAGCGAGCGAGGTAGGTGGGAGCGAGCGAGGTAGGTGGGAGCGAGCGAGGTAGGTGGGAGCGAGCGAGGTAGGTGGGAGCGAGCGAGGTAGGTGGGAGCGAGCGAGGTAGGTGGGAGCGAGCGAGGTAGGTGGGAGCGAGCGAGGTAGGTGGGAGCGAGCGAGGTAGGTGGGAGCGAGCGAGGTAGGTGGGAGCGAGCGAGGTAGGTGGGAGCGAGCGAGGTAGGTGGGAGCGAGCGAGGTAGGTGGGAGCGAGCGAGGTAGGTGGGAGCGAGCGAGGTAGGTGGGAGCGAGCGAGGTAGGTGGGAGCGAGCGAGGTAGGTGGGAGCGAGCGAGGTAGGTGGGAGCGAGCGAGGTAGGTGGGAGCGAGCGAGGTAGGTGGGAGCGAGCGAGGTAGGTGGGAGCGAGCGAGGTAGGTGGGAGCGAGCGAGGTAGGTGGGAGCGAGCGAGGTAGGTGGGAGCGAGCGAGGTAGGTGGGAGCGAGCGAGGTAGGTGGGAGCGAGCGAGGTAGGTGGGAGCGAGCGAGGTAGGTGGGAGCGAGCGAGGTAGGTGGGAGCGAGCGAGGTAGGTGGGAGCGAGCGAGGTAGGTGGGAGCGAGCGAGGTAGGTGGGAGCGAGCGAGGTAGGTGGGAGCGAGCGAGGTAGGTGGGAGCGAGCGAGGTAGGTGGGAGCGAGCGAGGTAGGTGGGAGCGAGCGAGGTAGGTGGGAGCGAGCGAGGTAGGTGGGAGCGAGCGAGGTAGGTGGGAGCGAGCGAGGTAGGTGGGAGCGAGCGAGGTAGGTGGGAGCGAGCGAGGTAGGTGGGAGCGAGCGAGGTAGGTGGGAGCGAGCGAGGTAGGTGGGAGCGAGCGAGGTAGGTGGGAGCGAGCGAGGTTGGTGGGAGCGAGCGAGGTTGGTGGGAGCGAGCGAGGTTGGTGGGAGTGAGCGAGGTTGGTGGGAGTGAGCGAGGTAGGTGGGAGTGAGCGAGGTAGGTGGGAGTGAGCGAGGTAGGTGGGAGTGAGCGAGGTAGGTGGGAGTGAGCGAGGTAGGTGGGAGTGAGCGAGGTAGGTGGGAGTGAGCGAGGTAGGTGGGAGCGAGCGAGGTAGGTGGGAGCGAGCGAGGTAGGTGGGAGCGAGCGAGGTAGGTGGGAGCGAGCGAGGTAGGTGGGAGCGAGCGAGGTAGGTGGGAGCGAGCGAGGTAGGTGGGAGCGAGCGAGGTAGGTGGGAGCGAGCGAGGTAGGTGGGAGCGAGCGAGGTAGGTGGGAGCGAGCGAGGTAGGTGGGAGCGAGCGAGGTAGGTGGGAGCGAGCGAGGTAGGTGGGAGCGAGCGAGGTAGGTGGGAGCGAGCGAGGTAGGTGGGAGCGAGCGAGGTAGGTGGGAGCGAGCGAGGTAGGTGGGAGCGAGCGAGGTAGGTGGGAGCGAGCGAGGTAGGTGGGAGCGAGCGAGGTAGGTGGGAGCGAGCGAGGTAGGTGGGAGCGAGCGAGGTAGGTGGGAGTGAGCGAGGTAGGTGGGAGTGAGCGAGGTAGGTGGGAGTGAGCGAGGTAGGTGGGAGTGAGCGAGGCAGGTGGGAGTGAGCGAGGTAGGTGGGAGTGAGCGAGGTAGGTGGGAGCGAGCGAGGTAGGTGGGAGCGAGCGAGGTAGGTGGGAGCGAGCGAGGTAGGTGGGAGCGAGCGAGGTAGGTGGGAGTGAGCGAGGTAGGTGGGAGTGAGCGAGGTAGGTGGGAGTGAGCGAGGTAGGTGGGAGTGAGCGAGGCAGGTGGGAGTGAGCGAGGTAGGTGGGAGTGAGCGAGGTAGGTGGGAGTGAGCGAGGTAGGTGGGAGTGAGCGAGGTAGGTGGGAGTGAGCGAGGTAGGTGGGAGTGAGCGAGGTAGGTGGGAGTGAGCGAGGTAGGTGGGAGTGAGCGAGGTAGGTGGGAGTGAGCGAGGTAGGTGGGAGCGAGCGAGGTAGGTGGGAGCGAGCGAGGTAGGTGGGAGTGAGCGAGGTAGGTGGGAGTGAGCGAGGTAGGTGGGAGTGAGCGAGGTAGGTGGGAGCGAGCGAGGTAGGTGGGAGTGAGCGAGGTAGGTGGGAGTGAGCGAGGTAGGTGGGAGTGAGCGAGGTAGGTGGGAGTGAGCGAGGTAGGTGGGAGTGAGCGAGGTAGGTGGGAGTGAGCGAGGTAGGTGGGAGTGAGCGAGGTAGGTGGGAGTGAGCGAGGTAGGTGGGAGCGAGCGAGGTAGGTGGGAGCGAGCGAGGTAGGTGGGAGTGAGCGAGGTAGGTGGGAGTGAGCGAGGTAGGTGGGAGTGAGCGAGGTAGGTGGGAGCGAGCGAGGTAGGTGGGAGTGAGCGAGGTAGGTGGGATAGACATGAGCATGTGCCCCGCTCGGGTCGGGCCGACCCGACCCGACCCGTGTATTTGCTCGGGTCGGGTCAAACTTTCGGGATCCCTGACCCGTACGGGCCGACCCGACCCGACCCGCACGAAGGCCCGACCCGAGGGGCAATTTCGGGCCGGGCCGAGCCGGGTTTCGGGTCGGGCCCGACCCGATTTCGGGTCGGAACTGTCGAAATCGGGTCGGGCCAGGCGCGCGACCCGATTTCGACTGGGCTAGGGCCGAAACCCTAGCCCGAATGTAAATCGATCGAGGGGATTTCTTCCCCTCAGATTTACATTCGCCACCCTCGCCACGCCAGCACAGCCCCTAGTCTTTGAGTCTTCCTAAGTACCCCCCACTAGCCACTGTGTTTTGTGATGTCTCTACTGTTTGGCTACCCCTAGACTATTTTACATGTCATACCGACTGTTGCACAGCTTACGAAACCATCGCACCTTCAAGCGGAAGAAGAACATGTATTACAAAAATAGAGTAACAACAACTCTACCAGAAAAAATGTACAAGTCATGGGGAGCACCCCCACCCTCCCCCTAAAGGGGCGGGTCTTCCTGGCCCGACCCGGCCCGACCCGAACTCGGGTCCCCCGTGACCCGAGTCAGTAGGCCCGGGTCGGGCCAGCTGTTTCAGGAATCTGGCCCGAGGTCGGCCTGACCCGACCCAACCCGAGGGCCCGTATGGCCCGGCCAAATCGGGTCGGGTCGGGTCGGGTCGGGCCAAATGCTCAACTCGGGAGTGAGCGAGGTTGGTGGGAGTGAGTGAGGTTGGTGCGAGCAAGTGAGCACCCATGGTGACCATGGTGACCCCATCGCACCTCACCATGGTGACCCCATCGCACCTCACCATGGCGACCCCATCGCACCTCACCATGCTGACCCCATCGCACCTCACCATGCTGACCCCATCGCACCTCACCATGGTGACCCCATCGCACCTCACCATGGTGACCCCATCGCACCTCACCATGGTGACCCCATCGCACCTCACCATGGTGACCCCATCGCACCTCACCATGGTGACCCCATCGCACCTCACCATGCTGACCCCATCGCACCTCACCATGGTGACCCCATCGCACCTCACCATGGTGATCCCATCGCACCTCACCATGGCGACCCCATCGCACCTCACCATGGTGACCCCATCGCACCTCACCATGGTGACCCCATCGCACCTCACCATGGCGACCCCATCGCACCTCACCATGGTGACCCCATCGCACCTCACCATGGTGACCCCATCGCACCTCACCATGCTGACCCCATCGCACCTCACCATGCTGACCCCATCGCACCTCACCATGGTGATCCCATCGCACCTCACCATGCTGACCCCATCGCACCTCACCATGCTGACCCCATCGCACCTCACCATGGTGACCCCATCGCACCTCACCATGGCGACCCCATCGCACCTCACCATGGTGACCCCATCGCACCTCACCATGGTGATCCCATCGCACCTCACCATGCTGACCCCATCGCACCTCACCATGCTGACCCCATCGCACCTCACCATGGTGACCCCATCGCACCTCACCATGCTGACCCCATCGCACCTCACCATGCTGACCCCATCGCACCTCACCATGGCGACCCCATCGCACCTCACCATGCTGACCCCATCGCACCTCACCATGCTGACCCCATCGCACCTCACCATGCTGACCCCATCGCACCTCACCATGGTGACCCCATCGCACCTCACCATGCTGACCCCATCGCACCTCACCATGGTGACCCCATCGCACCTCACCATGGTGATCCCATCGCACCTCACCATGCTGACCCCATCGCACCTCACCATGGTGACCCCATCGCACCTCACCATGCTGACCCCATCGCACCTCACCATGCTGACCCCATCGCACCTCACCATGGTGACCCCATCGCACCTCACCATGCTGACCCCATCGCACCTCACCATGGTGACCCCATCGCACCTCACCATGGTGACCCCATCGCACCTCACCATGGTGACCCCATCGCACCTCACCATGCTGACCCCATCGCACCTCACCATGCTGACCCCATCGCACCTCACCATGCTGACCCCATCGCACCTCACCATGCTGACCCCATCGCACCTCACCATGGTGACCCCATCGCACCTCACCATGCTGACCCCATCGCACCTCACCATGGTGATCCCATCGCACCTCACCATGGCGACCCCATCGCACCTCACCATGCTGACCCCATCGCACCTCACCATGCTGACCCCATCGCACCTCACCATGCTGACCCCATCGCACCTCACCATGGTGACCCTATCGCACCTCACCATGCTGACCCCATCGCACCTCACCATGGTGATCCCATCGCACCTCACCATGCTGACCCCATCGCACCTCACCATGCTGACCCCATCTCACCTCACCATGGTGACACCATCGCACCTCACCATGGTGACCCCATCGCACCTCACCATGGTGACCCCATCGCACCTCACCATGGTGACCCCATCGCACCTCACCATGCTGACCCCATCGCACCTCACCATGGTGATCCCATCGCACCTCACCATGGCGACCCCATCGCACCTCACCATGCTGACCCCATCGCACCTCACCATGGTGACCCCATCGCACCTCACCATGGTGGCCCCATCGCACCTCACCATGGTGACCCCATCGCACCTCACCATGGTGACCCCATCGCACCTCACCATGGTGACCCCATCGCACCTCACCATGGCGACCCCATCGCACCTCACCATGGCGACCCCATCGCACCTCACCATGGCGACCCCATCGCACCTCACCATGGTGATCCCATCTCACCTCACAGTGGTGACCCCATCGCACCTCACCATGGTGACCCCATCGCACCTCACCATGGCGACCCCATCGCACCTCACCATGGTGACCCCATCGCACCTCACCATGGCGACCCCATCGCACCTCACCATGGTGACCCCATCGCACCTCACCATGGCGACCCCATCGCACCTCACCATGGTGACCCCATCGCACCTCACCATGGCGACCCCATCGCACCTCACCATGCTGACCCCATCGCACCTCACCATGGTGACCCCATCGCACCTCACCATGGCGACCCCATCGCACCTCACCATGCTGACCCCATCGCACCTCACCATGGTGACCCCATCGCACCTCACCATGGTGACCCCATCGCACCTCACCATGGTGACCCCATCGCACCTCACCATGGTGATCCCATCGCACCTCACCATGGTGACCCCATCGCACCTCACCACACTGACCCCATCGCACCTCACCATGGTGACCCCATCGCACCTCACCATGGCGACCCCATCGCACCTCACCATGGTGACCCCATCGCAACTCACCATGGTGACCCCATCGCACCTCACCATGGCGACCCCATCGCACCTCACCATGGTGACCCCATCGCACCTCACCATGGTGACCCCATCGCACCTCACCATGGCGACCCCATCGCACCTCACCATGGTGACCCCATCGCACCTCACCATGGCGACCCCATCGCACCTCACCATGGTGACCCCATCGCACCTCACCATGGTGACCCCATCGCACCTCACCATGGCGACCCCATCGCACCTCACCATGCTGACCCCATCGCACCTCACCATGGCGACCCCATCGCACCTCACCATGGCGACCCCATCGCACCTCACCATGCTGACCCCATCGCACCTCACCATGGCGACCCCATCGCACCTCACCATGGCGACCCCATCGCACCTCACCATGCTGACCCCATCGCACCTCACCATGGTGACCCCATCGCTCGCACCTCACCATGGTGACCCCATCGCACCTCACCATGGTGACCCCATCGCACCTCAACATGGTGACCCCATCGCACCTCACCATGGTGACCCCATCGCACCTCACCACACTGACCCCATCGCACCTCACCATGCTGACCCCATCGCACCTCACCATGGCGACCCCATCGCACCTCACCATGCTGACCCCATCGCACCTCACCATGGTGACCCCATCGCACCTCACCATGGTGACCCCATCGCACCTCACCATGCTGACCCCATCGCACCTCACCATGGTGACCCCATCGCACCTCACCATGGCGACCCCATCGCACCTCACCATGGTGACCCCATCGCACCTCACCATGGTGACCCCATCGCACCTCACCATGGTGACCCCATCGCACCTCACCATGGTGACTCCATCGCACCTCACCATGGTGACCCCATCGCACCTCACCATGGTGACCCCATCGCACCTCACCATGGTGACCCCATCGCACCTCACCATGCTGACCCCATCGCACCTCACCATGGTGATCCCATCGCACCTCACCATGGCGACCCCATCGCACCTCACCATGCTGACCCCATCGCACCTCACCATGGTGACCCCATCGCACCTCACCATGCTGACCCCATCGCACCTCACCATGCTGACCCCATCGCACCTCACCATGGCGACCCCATCGCACCTCACCATGGTGACCCCATCGCACCTCACCATGGCGACCCCATCGCACCTCAGTGAGGTGACCCCATCGCACCTCACCATGGTGACCCCATCGCACCTCACCATGGTGAGCATGCCGTCTATCGCGGGCCCCTTGGCTGCCGGCTTGAGCTTCGCATGTGACGACAGCACCACCTCCATTCCAACCCAACTGCTGCTCTCGCCGTCTGTGGGTTGCGAAATGCACCCCCCCGAGTCAGGTCAATAGAGTTGCGGGTTGGTTGGTATCAGCTCTTTGAGGAGGAAGCCGCCTTCATCCAACCGACTTGCGGCCCGCTGCACACGTGGATTGCTCTCACATGCACCCAGCTACTGCTGTTCCTGCCACGCACACATAAGGAAGAGGGGGGAGGGTTGGATTGAAGGGTTGTGGAGAGCATGGAAGATGCAGGCACTCACAAGTTGTTGCAGCAATGACGTCACTCACGTCACTCACTCCTCATTACCTTCGCTCCCCCCACCGTCCCTCAAATCCCTCCCCTCCCCTCCCCTCCCCTCCCCTCCCCTCCCCTCCCCTCCCCTCCCCTCCCCTCCCCTGCTGACCTCCCCTGTCGTCCCCTGCCCTGTCCTGCGCTCCCCTAACCCTCCCCCCTGCTTTCTCCTGCCCTGTGCCCTAACCTGCCCAGTTCCCTGCCAACTCCTGCCCTCCCCTCCCCTGCCCTCCCTGCCCTTCCTATTCATCCCTTCCCCCTCCGTTCCTTCCCGTCTCTTCCCAACCCATGGTCCTGCCTCGCCCCTTCCCGTCCCCGTCCCTCCCCTTCCCGTTCCCTTCCGTCCAAGCCCGACCACTCTCGCCCTCCTGTCCGATCCGTCGCTTCCCGTCCCAAACCAGCCCAACCCGTCCTGCTCCGCCCCGTCCCCGCTCATCCCGTCCCGCCGTCCCCTCCCTTCTCCTCTCGTCGCGTCCCCTCCCGCCCAATCCCGTTTCATCGATTATCCCGTTCTGTCCCATCTCGTCCCTTCCCGTCCCGTGCAACTCCTTCTCGTCTCGTAAATTCCTCTCTGACCCGTCCAACCCCTTCCCCGTCGCGTCCGTCCCGTCGCTTCACGTGCCGTTTCCTTGTACCCTAATGCATCACTTTCGCCGATTACATGGATCGTGCGGATAGTAGCGATTCGCTAAATGCGTTACAGTGTAGGTCCCTTGGACGACGCTGCCTCTTCTCGCTCGTCAGGTACTTCGTTCTCACGCGATTTTATCGAGCTCTTACCTGGAAACTTGGGTCGTCTGGCTCTAGGTAGCGAAATACGACGAGTTACCTTTCCTCTCTTCTATAGCTGAGGCAGCGGTTCCGCCCGTCTCATAGTTCGTCAGCTCCTGTGACACGTTTCTTCTGCTCGGCTCTTGCCTCTGCTCCGTCTCGTTGCACTATGCTCTCTGGCCCCAGCGCTCTTTCCTTAGCCTCTCTGTGGATGGGGTTGACCATGAGGGCGTGTCATCTGTTGTTAGGGCGCAGGGATTGTAAATTTTGCACAACATTATGAGGCCACCAGAATAAGGGCGCAACCCCTCCCTCGACCGAACCTCCACCGCAGTGATATCCTGCGTTGTTCTGTTTTGAACTTATTAAACCCTTTTAAACCGAGCGCAGGATCGATCCTGCGCACGATCGATCGAGGGAGGGGACGCGCCCTAATTCGACAGCGCTGCGAAAGATGGAGTCGAAAATGTCCCGCGAAGTTACGGCTCTGACACGAACGACAGAGAGTATCTTGACGAAGAAGCAAGGGTTACAGACGACAGGCACGAATCCTTCCTATCTTACCCAGCGTTGCCGAGAATTGCGAACATGTGCGCGACTTGTATTCTGTGTCTGTTTCACAATGGCTGGTAATTAACTGGAAATAATAAACAGAACCGGTTCAAATAGACGGGATCCGCCCTAACGTGACAAACGCTAGTCGAGCCCAAGTTCGAGCCCTGTCGTTCCTGTCCCCCTCATCTGCTCTCATTTCTCCACTGCTGAGCTGATCGCACCTGGCGGGATTTACTACTACGGCCCTGCACTGCTGCACACCCTGTTAGTATCCTCCAAGCGTTATTTCCCACTTTCAGTGCTGCTTCTCAACGCCACGTTAACCGCTAGCCGTTCCTTAGCACACCGTAGGCCGATCCCTCCGCTCTTGTATCAAACCTCCAAGATGGAGACTTGCGCGAGCATCAACGGCCTGCCCGACGATCTCCTCATTGCCATCCTCATGCGCTCCCTCCAGCAACCCGCGTCGTGCAAGTCCGACAGTGACAGCGAGTGGACATCCAGTTACGCACTTTCAACTACGAGCGACTATACAAAGCAAGACGCTTCGATAGTTGAGACCTCGATAGCATCCCCTCCTCCCCTCACAGACGCCGCTCGGAATCTCTGCATCGCATCCGTCTGCCGTCGCTGGCGTCGCCTCACAAAGCATCACGTCACCACGCTCTCCGTGAAAGCAGACCTCTTGGTGCCCCTGGAAACCCTCTCAGCCGCCGTCGCATGCTTCCCCAACCTCACCCATCTCCATCTGGGTGACAGCAGCGTCAAGTCCCTCGACGATGCTTTCCTCGCTCACCTCGCCTCATCGTGCCCACAGCTGACGGCTCTCCACGTGGGAAGGAGCTGGCGAGTGCCCAACGAGCGTGGCTACCTGGTGAAGCACTATCGCTGGAAAAAAAAACATCGGATCACAACAGGCGGCTTGGATCGGTTCTTTCACGAGCTCCCCAGATTGGAGCAGGTTACCCTTTTCTGCCTTCGCCCTGAAATAGAGCTTCCAGATAGCCTTTTTCGCTTGAAGCATCTGCACACCCTTCTTCTTACCAACGCCTCAGCCGTTGAACATCCCGATTTCGCAAGCCTCACTGCCCTGACCACCCTGTACGTCACCTTCCCCTGGAACCACCAGCACCTGTCCACCCTCCTGCACCTCCCACGACTCACCCATCTGTTCACCTTAGCGCCTCACGAAAACGATCAGCACGCGGGTGCTGCAAGCATGACTCTTCCACCCTGCCTGAAAGCGCTCAATTTCATGCTGTCTTGTCCCGATCTTGACACCATCTTCCCATCAGCTTCACCGTTCACGGGGCTAGAGGAGCTGCTGATTACCAAGTGCAGTGAGCTAGAGACCCTTCCTGACCGCATAGGAGACCTGCTGCCATGCCTTCGCAAACTGACCATTCGCGAGTGCTACTATTTCGCTCACCTGCCTGAAAGCTTCACTGCCCTGAGCCATTTGGAGGATCTCATTCTCTCCACGTGTGATGACTTCACCTTACCCTCCAACTTCGGCCACCTGCCTGCCCTCACATTACTGGTGCTGGAGAGTTTGTCATTCACCGCATTCCCTCCTTCCTTCTGCCATCTCACGTCTCTCGAGGCACTCTTTTTAGTTGAGTGCCACCCGCTTTTGGAGCTACCGGCAGGGTTCTGCCACTTGACTGCTCTTAAGGCGCTCTGCATCTCAAGATCAGAGGGCCTTGCGTTGCCCGAGGACGTTGGGGCCCTTGCAAGGCTGGAGGCCCTCAGGCTGCACAACTGCCAGCACCAGCCCCTTTCACGCTCCTTCACCGACCTCTCCTCCCTCACGAGCCTTGACCTGAACGCATGCTTTGGAGGCGACCTGCCAGCCCTGGGAGAGCTGAGCAACCTGCGGGAGCTGAAGATCGTTGATCTCCCCATAAGCACGCTCCCTACCTCACTCACCCGGCTCACAGGACTGCACACGTTGGAGGTGAGGGGCTGCCAGGCACTCCTTGAAGTGCCCTCGCGGCTGGATATGCTGGTGGGGCTGAAGAGGCTGGTGCTGACGGAGTGTGAGGAGCTGAGTAGGCCCCCTGCTGGTCTGCCGCCCTCTCTTGAGACCCTCTGTTTCGGGCCCTTCGTGGAAGGTTCTTCCCATGTGGTGGATATCTGTGGGTTGTGGCAGCTGAGGGTGCTGAAGCTGAACCGCGTTGGGGTGCGCTGTGGGGCCGCTGTGAGCAGCAGCTTGTTGTGCCTGGAGCAGGGGGAGCAAAAGGGACAGGGAGAGAAGAGGGGAGAGGGGGAGCAGAGGGGACAGTGGGAGAAGGGGGGGCAGGGGGAACGGGGGGAAAAGTGGGGACAGGGTGAGCAGGGGGAGCAGGGGGGGCAGGGGGTGCGCTGGGTGCAGGGGGGGCAGGGAGGGCTGGAGGGCCAGCTGGAGAAACTGGAGAAGCTGGAGATGCGGTTGGGAAGCGGAAATCAAAAGCTTCCAATCCCATTGACTTTTCTCCCTCGCCTGCGCAGCTTGCTGATAGACGCACCTGGACTTTGCAGCCTCCCAGAAAACATGGGGGCAGCGCTGCCGCAGCTACGGCAGCTGGAGCTCCTTTCTTGGTCACCGGAGAAGCTTCCAGGAAGCATCATAGAGCTCTGCTCACTGACGTCGCTCACGGTTGAAGCACCTCAGCTGACAGCGCTTCCTCCAGGGATGAGCTCCTTGTCTCGGCTGCGCAGGCTGGAGCAGATTGGATGCAACGCCTTGCAGCAGCGCCCGGAGTTGCCTCTCTCCCAGCTTGAATGCCTGCATCATCTGATACTTGGTAACTCCTCATGCGCATCCCTTCCTGCCAACTCCGTGCTGCTGACGGATAAGCCTTGACTCGGTTGCCTTCACCTGAGAGATCTCTGGTCGATTTGGCCCAGATGACTGTACTGCGGTGTCTCAGAGGCTGCTGCCTGTGATTACTTATGATAACACACACATCAATAGTTTTGCGCAGGCTGCAGTGCGGTGCATTCTAATCGTGCTTGCAAAACCTCAGTGTTGGATAGGAAAGGCCAGATTTAAGGTTGTTGTTGCTGGTGGCATGGACGATGAACATAGACTAGTCATGCACTATGCCAGGCGCTCCTGGAAGTGCCCTCGCAGCTGGATACGCTCGTGGAGCTGAAGAGGCTGGAAGTGACGGAGTGTGAGGAGCTGAGTAGCCCCCCTGCTGGTCTGCCGCCCTCTATCGAGACCCTGTGTTTGGGGCCCTTCGTGGAAGGTTCTTTTCATGTGGTGGATGTTTCTAGGTTGTTGCAGCTGAGGGTGTGAATTGGATGTTTCTAGGTTTGGGGCCCTGAAGCTGAACTGCATTGGGGTGCGCTGTGGGCCTGCAGTGTGTAGCAGGTTGTCGTGTTTGGAGCACGGAGGGCAAGGGGGGCAGGGGGGGCAAGGGGGTCAGGGAGGGCAAGGGGGGCAGAGGGAGCAAGGGGAGTAGGGAGGGCAGGGGGGACAGGGAGGGTAGTGGGGGTAGGGGTTGCATTGGGTGCAGGGGGGGCAAAGGTGGCAAGGGGAGCAGGGGGAGCAGGTGGGACAGGGGGGGCAGGGGGAGCAGGGGGGGCAGGGGGGGTAGGGGGAGCAGGGGGAGGCAGGGGGAGCACGGGGGGCAGGGGGAGCAGGGGGAGGCAGGGGGAGCAGGGGGGGCAGGGGGGGCAGGGGGGTAGGGGGGGCAGCGGGGGCAGGTGGGCAGGGGGGCAGGGGGGGCAGGGGTTGCACCTGGAGAAACTGGAGAAGTTGGAGATGCGTTTGAAAAGTGAAATTCAAGAGCTCTCAATCCCCTTGACTTCTATCCCTCGCCTGCGCAGCTTGTTAATAGAGGTGCCTGGACTCAACAGCCTCCCGGAAAACATGGGTGCAGCACTGCCGCACCTGCGGCAGCTGGAGCTTCTTTCTTGGTCACCGAAGAAGCTTCCAGGAAGCATATCAGAGCTCCGTTCCCTCACATCACTTACGATCGAAGCTCCTCAGCTGGTATCGCTACCTCAGGGCATGAGCGCCTTGTCTCGGCTGCGCAGGCTGGAGCTGATACGGTGCAACCCCTTGCAGTTGCGGAGATAACTACTACCACGGGAGCTAGACTACGGGCTAGGCACGGGTGCTCGTGTGATCTCTGCGTTCGTTGGTCCTTAGTCGTTTTCCTAGTGCACACACTGCTTGCTAGTTCGCACGGCAATTTGGCAAGAGTTTCACTAAGAAAAGGTTGACAACAATGATACAAAGAAGTTGGCAAGGCAAGACTACATCAGAGCTAGCATGCAAGCAGGACGACTGCCAGCGCAGCACGGTCGACCGCGTTCCAGCACGACTTGGTCGACCGCGCTCCAGCAGTGCAGAGTCGCGGCTTGCCAACACTGCAGGTCGACGGCGTGCCAACGTCGCAGGTTGACAGCTTGCCAACGTTGCTCCCGCAGGACAGCAGCGCACCTACTTCGCAGGTGCTCGCAGACGATTGGCGTGCAGTGCCTCGTCACCTGCACAACGCACACACCACATCAACTTCGTGCTGACGACTGCTCCTGATGCACCACGTCGACCTCGGGATACCATCACCGAGGTCGTCCTCGCCAAAACCACCTGGGCGACCATCGCAAGCCTTCGCAGCACCTCGTCACCCAGGTAACCTGGTCGACCGGGCAACCAGGTCGACCAGAGGCTCCAGTGCGTGCCCGTCGACCACCCAGGTCGACGACCACTTCCGGTCGACCTCCCAGGTCGACCACTGCCTCTGGTACGTGCCGGTCGACCTCCCAAGTCGACGGCCACATCCAGTCGACCTCCCCAGGTCGACCACTATCCCCTGGTCGACCAGCTCCAAGTCGACGTCACTCCTGGTCGACCAGAGGGTCTGGTCGACTTACCAGGTCGACCAGAAGGTCTGGTCGACGTCCCATGTTGACCAGAAGGGCTGGTCGACGTCCCAGGTCGACCAGCCGAAGTTGGCGCCCTCCCGAAGTCGGCGCCCATGCAGTGGCTCCCCGTGCAGGTCGACCAACCTCGTCGACCAGCTCGCCCACTGCTGCAGGTTGGCTGCACCCCTACACCCGACCACGAAGTCGGCTCCGCCCAAGCGAGGACGGGGCCACACAACAACTCCCGTTGACACTCCCCTGCCGCGTTCACGCTTGGGCCCCCAGCCCACACGGCAGTACAGCTTGGAGAATCGCTCGTCGACGTGCACCCAAAACACAGCACGTCGGTCACCACCGCACCAGCCATGCAAGAGGGCATGGCACCTACTGCTGCACCACGTCGTCACCGTCGCCCACCTCAGCCAGGCGCACCTGGCCGACTGCGACGGAGCACCGGTTGAAGGCCGGGTAGTGCAGCGCCTTCGTCAGAAAGTCGGCCGGCTGCTCAGCGGTCGGGATGTACTGCAGCGCAAACTTCCCCCGCTGCTCCATGTGCTTGAGGTTGCCCGTCAACCCCATGCCCTCCGCGACTTGTTGTCCACCCTCAGGACCGTCGGCTTCCCAGCATCCAGCTGCTGGAACTCTGCGAGGAGGAAGCGAAGTCGGCGTCCCTCCTTGCCGGCTTCGACGGCCGCCACGTACTCCGACTCGGTCGATGACAGCGTCGCGCACTTGATGCGCTGGCTCGACCAGGAGACCGCGGCCCCTCTGTAGACGAACACGTAGCCGCCCGTGCTCGTCCTGTTCTGCTTGTCGCCGGCGTCGTCGGCGTCCACGTAGCCGACCAGCTCCAGCGACTCAGGTCCACCGCCGAACTCCAAGGCGGTGTCACGCGTGTTGGCGAGGTAGGCGAGGCAGCGGTCGACCTCGCGCCAGTGCTGGTCGCTCCTCACCGTGAGGCCGCTCCCCAGCTTGCTGCAGGCGAAGGCAATGTCCGGCCTCGTCGTCGTCGCCGCGAATTGCAGCGAGCCGACCTTCTGCCGGTACTCCTCCTCCTGTCGCTCCTGCGCCTCCTCGTCATCGAAGGTGAGCTCGGCGTAGGCGTCGACCGAGATCGGCGTCTTCGGAGTCCGACCGCTCTTCTCCTCGTCGATGAAACGCCTACGCAGCTTGTCGGCGTAGCCCTGCTGGTGCAGCCACAGCTTCTTCGCCGACCTGTCGCGCACGATCTCCAGCCCGAGGTACTTCTGCACCGGCGAGATCTCGCGCAGCTCGAAGGCGGCCTCCAGCAGCTCCTTTAGCTCCTTCAGCATCTCGGTGCTGCTGCTGGCGGCGAGCAGGTCATCGACGTAGACCAGCACCCAGCAGGTCACCTCGTCCTTGCCGACCTTGAAGTAGAGGGCCTCGTCGACCTGGCTCTTCTTCCAGCCAGCGCCGACCAGCACGTCGTTGAGCGCCAAGTACCACAACAGCGGCGACTGCTTCAGCCCGTAGAGGCTCTTCAGCAGCTTACACACCCGGCCGGTCCCGTCGTTGAAGTAGTCCGGCTGGTACATGTAGAGCACCCGGTCGAGCTTGCTCTGCAGGAAGGCGTTCTTCATGTCGAGCTGCATCAGGTTGAGGTTGAGGACGGCGACGATGCTGAGGAAGATCCTCAGCGTGACGTAGCTGCTCACCGGCGCGTACGTCTCGTCGTAGTCGGCACCATACACCTGGGTGAAGCCCTTCACGACCAGCCTCACCTTCTCGCGCTCGACGGTGTCGTCGATGTTGTACTTCGTCGTCAGCACCCACCGGTTCTTCATGACGTTCACTCCCGGCGGGCGTTCGACCAGCTCCCACGTGCCGTTGCTGATGAGGCTGCGGATCTCCTCCTCCATGGCGGCCTTCACCGCCGGGCCCTTCCAGCTCGCCAACGCCTCCTTCACCGTCATGGTCGAGATGTCCCAGCGGTGCTCGGGGTCGGCCAGCATGTCGGGGTCGAGCTCCGGAAACTCCTCATCCTCGTCGGCGTCGTCGTACAGCAGGTCGTCGTCGTCCTCCATGTCGTACACCGTGGTGAAGGCAGCGGGGACGAAGAAGTCGGGAGGCCTCCGAAGTCGACCTGACTTCCGGGGTTCAGGCGGGACCACCACCACGTCACGGTCGGTGGACTGGTCGACCACCTTCTGGTCGACCGGCTCCTCGTCGCCCAACTGCTCCCCTTCATCTTCACCGCCGTCCTCGTCGCCCTGCTGCACCTCGGTCGGCTTCTCGATCGACGGCTCCCCTGTAGTCGGCTCCCCTGTCGACCGCCAGGTCGCCGACTGCTCCTGGGTCGACCTCGTTGCTGCCTGCTCCCCTGTCGGCTTCACCCAAGTCGGCTGCACCTCCTCGACCTGCTGCACGTCCCGTCGGCCACCGGCGATGCCTTTGGTCGGCGCCACAGGCGACGCCCCACTGCTCCCCTCATCGCCGGAGGCCGACGGCGGAATCAGCCCACGCAGGTCGACGAGGGGAAGGGGAGGAAGGGTGGACGACCTCGGCGTCGTCCTCAGCAAGCTCACCGACCTCGGCGAGCAGAGGGAGAGTTACCGTCGAGGTATCCGTCGGTGTGGACACAAGCGTCCGCCATGACGCCGGCCCATGCTCCGACTTCCACTCCTCCAGCGACAGGTCCTCGTAGAACACCACGTCCGACGTGGTGACCACCCGGTTGGCGGCAATGTCGAGGAGCTCCCAGCCCTTGCTTGCCTCCGACACGCCGAGGTGAAGGCCCCACTTGGCCTTCGGCTGCAGCTTCCCACCACGCTGCTGCTCGAGACGAGGAACTGCGCCATGCAGCCCCACACTCGTGCCAGCGACAAGTCGGGCTTCGTCCCGGTCAGCAGCTGGTATGGCGTCGTCCCCGGCGTCGCCGACCGCTCCAGGCAGTTGCGGATCCAGACGGCCTGCCGCAGAGCGAGGTGCCACCAGTGGTGCTGCACGCCCATGTGCAGCAGCATC